TTAAGACCCCTTTGGTACAGGACTGGTGTAAGGACTGCGTTCTTGCCTGTTCTGTTGAGTAATAATATAAAGTGCAATGGCTCTTTTAGCTATTCTGAAGTTGTTCCCTTTTGTTTAGTTTCACAGTCTAAACTAAAAAGAAAAAAGAACAACCCCACAGCATGTGAAAGATATTTCAAGTATAACTTAGAGATAATTTGTTTCAGTATTCCAGTAAAACATGATATTAAGCAGTAATGTAACCTATCTAATTTATTTCAGGGGACCCTCAGAAATTTTCTGGTTTAATTCCTGTTTTACTCTGAGGTCCTCTTAGTGTGACAGTCGGCAGTGGTGCTAGCGAGTGCGTGAGAAGTGCAGCAGCTTTGGCCCTGGGGCCCGACTGCAGCCAGCCGTGGGGTGGGGAAGGCAGGAGTGGCTGGGCGAAGGTCCCTGCATCGCCCAGCAGTGTGAGGGATGTCAGTGGGGGGCTGTCTGCTCCTTTCCGCTTGTACAAAACCACTCAGGCAGAGTGGTGAGTAATTTCACCTGCTTTGTGCTGGTAGAGAGGAGAGCGTATGAGGAGGATGCTCAGACCCCATGTTCCCCAGCACAGACCAGCTATGCTTACTTAGCATGGTCATTACCTAGCACCATCTCCAAGGTAAGCTTTTATCCCCCCCCAGTGGCTTTCTGCTGCTCCGCAGGTCCAGCGCAGTGGTGTTTCTGCCCAGCACATTTATTGTCCAAGCCAGGGCTGCACAGCCTGCAGCAGGTGTTGGTACCTGCTCCCCGTGGGAGATGCATTTTTCTGCTGTAGACACAGCCTTCAGCTTCTGTTCTAGGGGCCAGGGAGTCTCTCCATTGACTTTGACAGCCTTTAGGTCAGGCTGCTCCGCACTGCAGCCTTTTCAGGGTCCTTTGTGAGAGCTCTTTGGCCAGCTTTCCCCTCGCTTTCACCAGAGCTGGGGCTTGGTGTGTGCAGAGGTTTTCCTTTTGGCTGGGTTGGGGAGTCCTCCCTGCTCATGGTTCTCCATTAACGTGTGGGAGCATCACTGCTGATGTGTGCCCTTCTCTGAGGGGATACCAATTTGTCTGTCTTGGCTGTCTTGTCTGTCTGTTAGTCTGTTCTGCTTAGCTTTCTCTTTGCTTATGTAGTCCTTTAACTCCCACCAGAAAGGTATGGAAGAAGACGCACAAACAAGAGCTGCAATGACATGCTGATGACACTTGACATTGCTAGGAGCAGGGAGAGCCCTATTGAGTAGCCCCAGCATCTTTCTCAGGGCTTTTCTAGGCTCTTAACATAGAACCTTTTTCTGATATTCTTGCAAACCTCTGGTGCTCTTTAGATCCATCCTCAAACTCCGTATGAGGTGGAAACAGTGGCCAGCTGTGCTTCAGACTGACAGTACTGCATATTTTTATAGTCTGTAGACATGGAGACATAGACACTTAAGCACCTGCTTAAGTTTATTCACTTAACTTTATTCACTACTAAGTTTATTAACTTAACTTTATTCACTACAAAGGACGTAGTGTGACTGAGGGGGTAGGATTTGAGTTGTCCTCATGGATTGTGAATACTTGGTCACTTTTAATCTCCAGCAGCAGAAGGGCTGGCTCAGTGTTTTGGGGGAACCTCTGTGTTTTACACTTTGGAGCTGTGCCCCACACTCGCTGATTCCTCAGCCACCTCTGGCACCTGGAGCCACTGCTGTAGGTAGTACATAGGCTTCCTGAACCCGTGTTTGAAGAGCATTTGGACCTATAACACCTTTTTTTTTTTTCTTTATTCTCTTCTCTCCCTGCAAGAATAATGTAAGGGGTTTTTTGTTGTTGTTGTTTTTTGTGTTTCTTTTTTTTTTAAAAAAAAAGCTATCTAGGCCATGCTATCACGGTCACTTGTCTGAAGCAGTGGGGTGGTACATTTACAGCCTAAAATTATAGGATCTGACCTGGTCAGGTTTTCATCCTGTTTGGCTAACGCTACATAGCTGCTGACTTTGGGGTGTTTCATCACCTCACTGTAGGACTCTGCTGTAGCCCTGGGAGTTAGTGCAGAGACCCCCACTGCTTTGGTAGGAGCTGCCTGGATCTCTGGAGCAGAGGCCAGAGAGGATCCACTTAGTAGTGCGTCTTGTCAGGAGCTGGGGGCTGCTAGGAGGGCAGGGGACTGCTTGGCCTCTGCCCCTGCCCAGCTGCCTCATGGAAGTCCCCGTGAGGATCCTGCCAGGAAAGGGAACGTGGCCAAGTTTCTGATGCTGGTAGACTGCACCTCCTGGTATTACACATACAAGCCTGCACCACGGAGCATTCAGAGGTAGTGCCAATTTTTTAGCTTTCAAATGACTAATTTAATTCATAGTTATTAAGGCTTTTTGGAAGAAAACCTGGGCAGGAAGGTCATAAGTAATCAATGAGAAATGGACCATGTGGTCTTAGGAGCTCATGGAGCAATTCCAGCACTCAATTTATTAGTGTGGAGCAGAGAAACACTTTCGTGAATTAAAAAAAAAAAAAAAATCATTCTTGCAGCTGCCTATCACCTCAGCCTGGAAATTGGTTTTCCCAGCTAGTTGACCACCTGAGTTAGCTCTGATCTCATCAGATTTCATGCACTATATCCAGTTGGCCTATACAATATTAAATGTCTAATTTGCCTTTTAGGGCTGATGATAGGCAGGAATGATTTCTAGAAAGCCTGTGACAATTTCAGGCTCCACAGTAAATGCTGTGAATGTGAATTCCACTGCAATTAGCCCATCCAACTTACATTTAATTTTCTCTCTATGGAAATACATATGGTAACAGAGCACTGTTTCTTACGGCAGCAATCCCAGATTCCAGCCCCAGACAGTACAGCTGACTACAAAGGAGTTGCTGTGGGGTTGGGTTGGCCTAGAGTGGGTCACAGTCCTCGAGAGAAGAGATGATTTGCTTTGATACAATGATGGCCACAGCTCCAGAGGTCCAACAGATAGTTCAGAGGAGCTTTGAGAACAGGAATTACACAGGGATGAGCTCATCACCCTGCACTGCTCCAAACTCTTTGAGCGTGCTTGGGCTGAAGGTGTCACAAACCTCTTTATCCTCTGCTTCTGCTCTGTCTCGAGATGCTGTGAGAAAGCAAGCCTTTTACTGAAGGGCATTGTTGAAATGAATAAAGAGGAGGAGGGAAAGCATAAAAATTGAGGCCTTTGGAATTTGGGTTAAAAATTGTGTTGAATGATCACAGAAGGTGGCAATGCTCCGTATCTTATCCAATCCACTTTGCCAAGTAGTCCTGCAGGTAGTACAAATAACCCTATGCTAGTTCAGACATCCCATTTGCTCACAGCATGCCCCTTGCTTTCAGCAGGAGAATATGCAAAAAGTGTGCAAAACCAGGCTCCGGATACGTGAGCAACTTTCTCAGTGACCTTCCCTTTCCCTGTAAAACCTCCAACCCCAAACACCGTGATTTTCCTTGCTGTGCCCCGGGACACGCGAGTCCCTGTGAAGAGTTGTGGCTGGGGAGAGAGGCAGGGCAGAGTCCAGAAGCTTCACAGGTGGTGGTGTTTGGAGCTGGGTTTTCCAGTCAGGGCCTCCTCTGACCTGAAGCTCTGCCTCGTTGTGGGAATTAACAGAGCAGCCGAGATCCTCGCGTGGTGCAAGCTAGAGTGATTTTGATGGGGCTACATGGCATTGTGCCTTCTGAGGACCTGAGCTGGTCTTTTTTAAGAAGCAAGCAAGTTACGGTTCTCTTCTGTGTCAAAGTCATTGAGGACTTTGCTAAAAACAGCAGCAGATTCCTCTCAGCATGCTTTTGGCCTTTCAAGTTTGATGGTCTCAAGTATGTGCTTCTGTCCTTGTTTTTTTTTTTCTCCCCTACAGGAATGCAGTATGACACTATGTACCATTTCTGGTTGTAGCGGTGTCCATAACCTTCCACTCTGATTCCCTGCTCTGAGCTGCTGTTTTGCTGTCACCTTTCTCTTGGCAGCATTCTGTGTGCTGCGGTGCAGTTGCGTTACTGTAGCCTTAATGTCTCTCGTGTAAATGAAAGACCTTGTTGTCCAAGAAGCATCGTGTTGGGGTGGGGAGGGGAAGAGTTGTTAATTTTCTTTTGTTGTCTGCACTCCATTTAATTTTTTTTAATTCTGACCGATATAACATCTGCTAAAATGTCTTCCTTATCATTTGCTTGGTGATCACACAGCCTTCCCACCATTCATTGAGAGCTGGACCAGATCTCACAGAGTCTGAAAAGAGCTATGTGGTAAGGCCACTGTTTAAATCAGATGTGTAGTCCTAGACTCTCTTCACCCAGACAGTAACACCTCAGTAGAGATAAAATGCCAGCACTATTTTTAGCGGCGAAGTAGGTACATATTTATCTACTTGCATATATTGTTTTGTTTGCAACAGAAAAGGGAAATTTAGCAATTGGAAAAACTGTCATGGCCAATGAGGAGTTGAGCTAATTGTGCTGCCAGTCCCTCAGTATAAGTTTAATGAAGCAAAATGCATGAATGGAGCGGCCCGCCTTGCATTCTTGAACTGACTTTGTAGCATTTGTAATGGTGCCACTGCATAACTAATTGCAACCTCTTATGCTGCTGCTTTTAAAAATATATGTATATGTATTTGTTACAAATCTTCAAACTAAATGCCAAATTCTTCTGTATCTTGCCTGTTTTTCCATGCTTACACCTGGATCCCTTCTGCACTCCACTACCTGGATATTTACCTGGATCTACAAATCTTTTTTTTTTTTTTTTTTTTTTTACTGGACTTACGTGCTGCATCTGGGATGTCCCATCTCTTCTTGTCTATATTTTCCCCTCCCTCCCCCCTGTTGACTGTCCTTTGGGTGTTCTTGGATGTCAATGCTGCCTACCACGCAGGAAGCTGTTTGCAATGAGATCATAAACATTGCAGAAAAGTCTGTTCATTACTGCAGTACTGTTTCTCAGCCTCTTGACTCTCGCCACAAGGTGACCTCTAATGACCATAAACCATCTCTCATCATTTCTCAGCAACCTCAAGCACAGCAGCAAGGAGCCAGCCCTGACAGAAGTCAAACACCACGAGACATGTAAGTCCTTTTGGCTCCCATCTCTTCCAGGGGCCTTGTCTCTGACTGGTGGTGAAGATGGTGTGAAAGCTTCAGCGTTTCAGGAGTTAAATTAGAATTATGGGAAAGTGTCAGCTTTTCTTTAAAGAACAAAAATAGCCATGTATCATCATAATGAGTAGTTTAAAACTGGGACCTTTGTGTCTGTATAGCACCTGAAACAATGACCTCATGATCCAGGACTGGGTCTCCTTTGGGCACTTGATTCATACTGGTTATGGAGACGATCTCAATGTCTTTGTATCCTGAAGCTGAAGACAAATTAATATCCACTGGCTACACCCAGCTCATATGGCATGGGTCAATGTGTTCACCCCTGTTCTTAGCTTCTCAGAGTACAGCAAGCAGTCCCAGCACCAATGCCACTTGGTGCGTGGCTGGCCAGTTCTGCAGATGAATTGATGGCCGAATGATCTGACAGACCAAGGCTGAGATTTTCAAAACTGCGTGGTAGGTTTAAATCTTGAGCTGCCATTAAGCTTGGTGGGACCTTTCCCTGATGGTAGCCTGCACTGTGTGCTGGGGACTGAAGCTCCTTAGCAGTTGGCTCCTGAAAGGAGCCTTTGCTTTCCCCTGCCCCTTTATGCAGAACGGAAAGTCTCACAGCAGCTCTGTTGTCAGTCCCCACAGGCAGCGGATCCAAGCCTCCCCAAATTTGCCCAAAGGTTGTTTCCACTCCATAAGGTTCCTTTCTGATAAATACAGGGTGGCTCTGGTGCAAGTGGTATCTCAGGGCAGCAGTCAACCTTAGATTCTGTTTGCACTATACCTCCTCAGCCATGATTTATCCAGCAACCTTAGTGCAGTAGAGTAGGCAGTATCTTTTTCTGAAGTCCTTCACTGTGCCATTTCGTCATTCATGGCCCTGCCTGTGTGCCTGGGCAAGGGAACAGATGTCTCATTTAGCCCAGGAATGAGTATATCCAGGTTTTGGCTTGCATTCAGTAGGGTGTCTACACTCATGGTCTCTAGGTGCTATACATTAGGAAGACTCTGGATGTTACAGTCTATGGAGACATCTATACGGCAAAAAGGAAACGGAAGCTCTCCACATATCCCACACAGTGCAGGCCTGCCACTTTTTACTGCCATGGCCTTGTGACAACAGCCAGTTTAATGCAGTTGGCTTCCACCTCTCAAATGGAAAACACAGATCCAGACTGCATTGAAGACCATATAATAGGAATTAGAAAAGGGAAGGGAGACGTATCCTTCTGAAGGGATGTCAGGGAAATCCAATGGCTAACGTGCAGTATCTTTCTGGTTTTAGAGTTAGCTACCAAGCCCTCTACAGCTACACTCCTCAGAACGATGATGAGCTGGAACTGAGGGATGGTGACATTGTCGATGTCATGGAGAAATGTGACGACGGCTGGTTTGTGGGTGAGTGTGACACTTGCATGTCAGCAGAGCTTTTTGAGACGCAGATGAGCAATTTTGCAGAGCATCTCAAGTTGCTTTCATTTGCGGGGTCAAAATGGTGGAAAAAAAAAATCAGCTCAACTTTTGTCATAATTTCTCATCTTTTCCTACCAAGAATGCTAAAATTAGGGTGCAGGGTGGTGGAGCTTTGTTCTCCTTGCTAGGTCTCTAGTTTTTCCTTTTTTCTCTCTTAATTTCCCTGTTCCCCTCTTCCTCCTGATCCTTCTTGCTCACACAGATGGCAGAGCAACAGAGGGAACCAAAGAAAGCTGGATTTCTGTAGCTTTTCCAAAGCTGAGGGAGCCATGGCAAGTTACAGAAAGTGGCAAGAAAGAGACGAAGGGAACACATGGATGGGAGTTGCAGTCCCTGAAAATCCAGCCTCATCTGTAGATGTATGTTTAGCAAAATCGAGCCCTTTACCTTCAAAGAATGCAAGTCTGGACAGTGTTCTCCATCTCAACACTGCAAATCTAGGCTTGTTATCTCTTCTGAAGGGAGATTAGCTCATTTACACTGATAGGAGCTTGGCTCTTAGCCTATAGGCCTAGGAGCTTTCACCAGCACCTTTTTAAGTGTTAAAAGGGAAGACCAAAGATGATTAGTAGCAGAACTAGTTGTGATCTTGTCTATACCAAGAGGCTCTTTGACCGGGACCTCTATTTAGTTTTAGAAAGCAATGCCTGCAGATTGCCACCTTTTTAAACCCCTAAGCTTTCCTTGCATGGCTCCATCTTACTCTGGCTTCCTTGTGTTTGATTTTGCGACAGGTACGTCCAGGAGAACAAGGCAATTCGGCACCTTCCCAGGCAACTACGTGAAGCTTCTGTACCTGTAAAATAACAGTGATCCCACCGTGACAGTGATGGGGGTTGTTTTCCAGATGGTGTTTTTAAACAGTGAAGAAACAGACAGTTTATGAATGTAATAGACAAGAGATGAGACGTGTTAGGAGGATGTGGTTATGTGGTACAGTATTGATTTGAATGTGTAGCCCTGCTTCCACGGATTCAGGGTGTGATTTGTTTGCTGAAGAAGAGACAGTTTCTAGTTTACAGTGCTGCCTTTGTGTATTCCTCTCCCCTCCCCAGCAAGAGTTCTGGTGATAATCTTAATTTGTATGGAGTACTTACCTCTGAGAAGGCTTCAGGGAAGCACACGGTATAGGTTTTGTTTGTGTGTTGAGGTAGGGTAGTGCTTTGGGGCAGTATGCAGCCTTGCAGCTGCTCCCTTTCACTGGCAAGGTTCAGGGAGGCCCAGCTCTCTGCCCGGTTTCTGCCTCGCTGAAGACTCACTTTGCTCTGCCTTCAACTTCCATAGAAAACCCTTCCTTCATGTCATGCACCTTAAGGCCCAGCAGAGGCAGAGGACAGCTGATATGGTTAAACTGCAGAGCTCTGTGTGGAAAAGGAGTTTGGGACTGGTGGTTTAATCCAGAGAGGTCAGCCAAAGCATAATGCAAGTGCGCAAAAATCCCAAACCCTTTAATAACGTATTACCTATCTCTGCAGGGTTTTTTTCTTTTGTGCAGGGTGTGTGTGTGTGTGAGTGTATTGTGTGCATCAAAACGAACTGAGTCCTGTTTTTTAAAGGGAAATCAGCCCGGCTTTGACATTTATCTGCACAAAGAACAGAACCAATAAACAGAACATCCGTGAGAGCAAATCCTGTTTATGAGTCCTACGGCCGTTCACTTTCTCTGCTCCTCCTGCCCTGTTGCTGGCCCTAAAGGATCACATGCTTCTCAAAGCATACCCTTTGGGATGAAGACTTTGCTTCTTTTCCGGCATTAAATCTTAGAGGCTCTGATAAATCTGAGCAACATATCACTGAGGGTGCCTTTTTTTTTTTTTTTTTTTTCCTTTTTGGTTACAGTATCGATGGTAGGTCTCAAATAAATACATGCATTTTGGCTGCCTCTTAGTCATACAAAAAGGTCTGATCAGTTTGGAAAGCTGTTCCCAGCAGTTATTACCAGTTACATAGATTTGTATTTCCTTGAGGAAAAAAAAACATGGCTTGGCTGTATGCTTGCCTGTAAATCCACTATGAATACTCTTTTGATAGACATTTTGTTATTAAGAAAAAGCATAAACAAAACCGGTTCTATCAGACTCTGCTTCCTACAGTTACCATACAAATAGCAAAGGGTTAGATTGCTATTTTGTCATAAGCCGTATTTAATAATATAAAATGCCTATTTTTATGCTGATGCTTTTATACAGATTTATTAAGAGTAACTACTACTAACTGTTAGCACGACTTGCAATGTTTTGATAAACTAGCCATGCTCCTGGGTTTGAAATCAAGTAGGCTTGTCTTCCGCCTAGGTCAGTGGAAGAGAAGACTCACTGTCTCAGAAGTTTGACTGTAAATATGTATATTTAACTTTGTACAGACAATGTACTTACCTTGTATAGAAAAATAATTTAAACACATTGAGTGAAGGGAGGAAAAAAAAGGCAGTTGTGAAAGGTTGGGATTTTTTTCCACTTTTATTTAAATTACGGAATTCCATGTATGTTCACGTAAAGAGTTTCAGCACAAAATATCTATTATGAAAGGGTTTCAGATATGACACAAAGTACCACTGTTTCTTTTCTGCAGGAGATACCTTTAATCCTGCATCTTATTTATGGGTTTGTTTTTCTGCTTTGGGTTTGCCCTCCAGTTATTTGCAGCAATATTTAGGCCTGTTGCTAAGATTGGATAACACCAAATTAATCTATCCAGCAAAGTAACATGATGATACTGACTGTATATAACATACTCATTTAAAGGTTTATTTTTTGTTCTTGCTCTTGCCATTTTAAGTCACACACACACACACACACACACACACACACACACACACACACAAACCGCAACTTATTTTTGTGTTGATTTTTTTGTTTCTTATTGCAGTGGATTACTATTTGACAATTAATAAATGGAATTATTGAATTACTATTGTGTTCCTTGTACAAATTATTAAATAAAGTCTATTCCCACTCTTCCTGTAGCAATGCACTTTTGTACTGGTGCCCCTCTGTGGCTGTCTTTGGCTGTGTCCACACTGAGCGGTAGGTGTCTGCCATGGGCTTCCCAAGCATCCTGCACCTGAGGATCCTGCTCGTGACTTGGCCTGACCTCACCGGTTCTCCCACCTGAGCCACAGGAAGGCTGTGACTTTTTCTTGAAGAAACCAAGATATAGAAGCAGAGAAAAAGCTGGTTTCCATCCAGATCTCACTGTAATGCGGGGTCAGGGTGCAGCCACTGTGGCATGCAGGCAGACATGGGAGTGCAGGAACACACCCAAGCCCCCTGGTTTACAGAGGGTCTTTGTGAGTCTCTCTCAGATAAGAAGACCACACAGGTTAAGTAGGACAAGACACCCCAAATGCCACCCTCTATGGGAAGGGATGTCAGTTGATGTTGGGTTTACATCTGCATTTTTAACCCTGACTTGGGTCAAAGGCCATAAGACACTGACTTCTGCAGTAGTTGCACTCTTGACCAGGCAGGTATGGCTGCAGCACTAGTTCAAGGCGTTTGTGCAAGGCCTGTGACGAACACATCACGTCTCCCAGCCCTGCAGCAGGAGAGCTAGCTGGGGCTTTTTGGATGTGCCTCATGTAGGAACAGTTCCCGCAGGAGCAGAGTGAGGGAAGGCCAGAGCTGAGCTGCCTGGGTGGGCTCACTGGGGCTCAGTAGCGCACAAGTACCCCAAAAGCGCACCCTGCACCTCCACACATCTGGCTCCTGCACGCTGCTTTCGGGGGGCTGTGCCCACCCCGAAGGCTGGTCTTTTGCGAGGAGTTTTAACTTCCTTGAGACCTCCACCTCGGACTGAGCCAAAATTGGGCAACGGATTCAAACTCTGCCGTGATGCGACCGGATGGCCAGGCAGACAGATAGACATCGTGGCTGCATTTGCAATGATTTTAGGAAGTCAAATTATAAACAAGCCAATCCTCAGACCAAACTAACAAGACAGCAAAAGCCTCACGCTATTTTACATGTCCTTAGAAATCACATAGACATAAGCCCATTTTTCTGTTTCGTAGGTTATCTTATAAACAAAGCAAAAGGGCAGCCTGACCACCGCTTTGCTGCAGTCACTAGCATCGCTAGCCCTTGCTTTACGGTGCTGTGGCCAGGGAGGGGAGAAAGAGGGACTGACCTATAGCTATCCCACCTCGATATTTACTGATGTCGCTCTCTATCCTAATATACGTGGTAAGGAACAAGCTAGAGATGCTTTTGTGACTGCAGAAGCTGGGTGTGCAGAGAGGGGAAGAGGACCCAGCAGTGTGTCACAGGCCTCTGGCAATCCTCCACACCTGGGGGAAAGGAGCTCTCAGTGTCACTTCCTTCGCTGCCACGAGATGTGTAACAATGTGGTGGAAGAACTACGGCTCTCTGGTAGAGATGAGATTAATAGTCCAGATGCGCGTACCTTGGAAGGAAATAACCCGTGAAATGACAAGTTAATGCAGGAAAAGGGAGGAAGCCAAGAAAGGGGATTACAGAGGCAAAGGCGTGCCTTGCGATGGGATCATTCATGGCTGCGTCTTGTAGGGCCAGCACCTGGGTGATGCACCTCACCCCCACTTGCTGACTGCTCCGCACTCCCTGGCGGTAGCTGAATCCCAGCTGATAAGCCCATACAGAAGAATTCCTTCTTTTGTTGGTGGTACCACCCCTAAGGGGCTAGAGGTAAACAAAACTGCATAAACAAGTGACAAATCAGAGCTAAATTAGGGGAAAGGTAATACATTTCCCAGGCTCCGCCCTCACTCATCAGCTCCCAGCTGGGAAACTGCACACAACGCCACTTATTTCCATCGCCTCCATTAGGTTTCAGAGTTAACACCCCACGGGGCTGGAGCAGAACGAGCCATACTTGCCCGGGAGATGCCGCACCGGGGCAGTCTCGCAGGCGGTTGCCCGCCGGTGCCTCTCTCTGCAGCCGTCCCGCCTTCCGACCGCGGTCAGCTCCGGCGGCGGCAGCGGCGCGGCTCCGCCGGTGGGGGGTGGGACGGGGCAGGAGACGGTCGGGGTTTCCGAAGACCGAAATTCTCGTCCTCCGGCAGCGGCTCGGCCCGGCGAACCTCTCCCGGGAGGGCTCCAGCTCAAAGCGCGGCGGTGCCCGGGCAGCTCTGCCCGCGGGGCGCGACAGCCAGCCCGCCC